ATGTGGCTTAGTGGTTGAGTACCCCTGGGTTCAAACCCTGGCACCATAAATAAATAAATAAATAAATAGGATTAGAAAGGAATAAACAAAGCTATCGTCAGTTACAGCCTTAGGATAGTCTATTTAAAAAACAAAGCGCTGGGTTCAAACTAGCCTCAGCAACTAAGTGAGCCTTAAGCAATTTAGCAAGGAGACCCTGTCTCGAAATAAAACAATAAAAAGGGCTGGAGATGTGGCTCAGTGGTTGAGATCTCCTGGGTTCAATCCCAGGTACCAAAAAATAAAATAAAAATAATAAGCAAAACACAGCTCCTTCTTATATCCGCCATGCACAGGAAGAACCAGTGGTCCTGGGACACTGTCCTCTGGGTACCAAGGTGAGGAGAGGTAGGAGCTGCCAAAGCCCCATGGCAGGGCAGAACAGCCTAAGGATGGAGTAGTGCCTCTGGTGACAGAAAGAGGTCAGGCTCTGGCCTTGCTTACTACCCTACCTGCTTGATGTGATAAGTTCCTTCTAGTACCTCCAGTTTCCTGGGTAGAATAAGAATGTAACATGGGCTGGGGCTGTAGCTCATCGGCAGAGCACTTGCCTAGCATGCTTGAGGCATTGGGTTCGATCCTCAGCACCACATAAAAATAAACAAATAAAATAAAGGTATTTGTCTATCTACGACTACAAAAAAACAAGAATCTTAACAATTGTAGCTTACTCACATAATGATATTGTTGTGAAAGTTAAATGACAGCATTTGTAAAGCACCTAGCATAGAGTACTTAGTGTAGTGTCTCATACAGTCTGTAAACCACTCAGTAAATGATAATTATTTTTAGGCTTTCGGATTCAGACTGCTCTTCTCTGGCTCTTATTCATTGATAGAACAAACATTATTCTGCATCTGCTGCATGTTCTCTTGGAGCTTAAGGAATACAAGTATAAAGGGTATAAAGGGTTCTGAAGGAACAATGAAAGGGGGTACAGAAACCCCTATAACAGTAGAATATCTAAGGGCTGGGCTCCTTTCCTAACTCCCCGAGTCTGCAGGGGGATCCCCTCAAGTCTTCAATAATTCTCCTTTAGGAGCTTCTAAGGAACTTTTGCTTGTTGGGTCTGTCCCTAAGAGGGTGGAAGAAAAGGCCACCCCCAAAACAACTGAATCTTGGCTTCCCAGCCCTAGCTCAGTAGCACACTAGCCTCTGGGTTTTAATGAGCTGCCCTGGGTTAGAAATAGGACGTGACTGTGGCTGGCTGAGAACCCTGAAGATCTTATTAAAGAATCATCTCCCTTGTACTTTGGGCTGAAATGCTCTTTCCAACCAAGGATCAAAGCAAACTTGACAAACGTTCTCTCATTAATCTCCCCATCCCCCTAGGGTGGGAGCAGATAGGTAGCTTTCTCCCTGGCTTTCAAAGGGGGAAGCTGATGTGACATTGATGCTGGGTGGCTCTTGGAAAGACCTCCCCCTAAGTCAGATACAGAACAGAGACTAGGACCCAGGTGTCTTAGGGGCTCCCATGGTAAGTGTCACCCGCATCCTATACCCTGTGCCCCCAGCACTRTCTCAGGAAGAGGAAAAACATCTCATTAGGCAAACAGACTCGGCCTCGCTGGCCCTCAGGAGGCGGGGAGGAGAGAAACTGTAAAGGTTATGCACACTCCTTTGCCAGTGCCCTTTTTAATTTCCTGCTTGGAATGTTAGGCTGCTCTGTGTCTCCTCCTCAGCCAAAACCCTCCCGGTGGGATGCTGGGACTGCCAGGAAGGAGCCAGTGTAGACTCGGGCATCCTCTGACTTTATTTCCCACAGTAAAAAAGTGGAGTTTCCTGGGAGTGAGAATTCAAGGGCAAGAAACTCAAGCGCTAAAAATTAGGTTCAATCCACATGTCTACAAGTGTTTACTGAAAATATAATGCTAGTCCCATAAAGGGGATTATGATTATTATACTAACATAAGGGGCTATTACAAAAATGTGATCATCAAAGCATAATATAAAATATTATCAGACACTCTGCGGTCAGAATGCCTGGGTTAAAATAGGACTCCATCACTCACTAGCATTGGGACCTTGGGCAATTTGCTTAACCCTCTCTGTCTCAATTTCCTCACTGAAAAATGAGTATAATAATACTATCTATCTTGTGGGATTGCAGTGGAGATAAAAGGAGATGATATGTGTAAGGTGCTTTGAATAGTCCCTGATACAGTGATAACTTAGCTAGTATGTTTATTATGACAATCTGATTGCTGGAATAGAAATCAAATTATTCCACATTATTGTTCCTTGATGTCTTTCCCTTGTCTGCTGTGGGGAAGAAGTTTAGGAATAAGGGGACAAGAATTCCAAATCAGCTCAATTTGGCTCATTCCCCGAGGTAATACCCCACTTTTCTTTGCTGAGTATGCTCAGTCATTGTGACCTATCAGCCATACCTAGCCTTTACTGGGAAAGGGTTCTTTTGTTCATATCCTCCAGTAACAGTCTCCTTTCCCATTTCTTAACTCCTGTTAATATGTCCCCTAGAATTGGGCTAAAGTTTTCCAGGAGATCTGTTAAGTTCTACATTCCATAATTGCATCCCCACTCTTGGTAAACTGCCTCAAAGGAGAAGTGAAAAGCCAGGGGGTACCAGGCATGGTGTGACTGCCTGTAATCCTAACAACTCAGAAAGCTGAGGCAGGAGGATCACAAGTTCAAAGCCRGCCTCAGCAATTTATTGAGGCCCTAAGCAACTTAGTGAGACCCTATCTTAAAATAAAAAATAAAAAGGGCTGGGAATGTTACTCAGGGGTTAAACACCTTTTGGTTCCATCCCTGGTCCACCCCCCACACACACAAAAAAAAAAAGAGAGAGAGAGAGAAAGAGAGAGAAAGGCCTGGGGGAGCTATGAGAAGGAAGGGGACTTGAGTGTTTGTCATAATTACCAGGTCAACACTGGGGAATCTGTTGTGTCACCCCTGGCATAAGAAGATTCAAGGAAAAATATAGAATGATCATTTCAGCAAGCCCCAAAAAGCATTTGATAAAATTCAACACTCATATCTGCACCCCTAATGGGCAGTAGAGGGTGGGCAACTAAATAAAGAAAAATAGAACATAAAAATAGAACATMACTGTCATTATTTGCAAACTATATTATCATTTAATTGAAAGGCCTAAGAGAATCAATGGCAATCTATTAGAACTAATAAGGGAGTCCAGCATTGTGACCAGACACCTGATCTGCATACTGATCTGAAGCTTTGCCGTAGTCTGGTAAAAAGTGAATTTGAAAATGTAATTTTAAAAGGARCCTATTCACAATATAACAAAGACTGTGTAATAACCAGTAATAAACCTATCAAGAAATATATATTACTCATGTGAGGAAAATTATAAATTTTTTCTGAAAGATTATAAAATTGTAAATAAATAGGAATAGATACCAGGTCCTAGATGGGAAGACTCGATAACATAAAGGWTTCTTCTCATATTAATCTACAAATTCAAAATAATCCAAATTAAAGTCTCAGCAAGATTTTTCATAGAACTTCAGAACCACCAGTTTGCAGCTACACATGCTTGCAATCCCATCTACTCAGGAGGCCTCAGCAGGAAGATAACAAGTTTGAGGTGAGCCTGGGCAACTTAGTAAGACCCTGCCTCAAAAAGTTCAGTGGCAGAGTGGCCCTAAATTCTATTTCCATAAAAATCTAAATGTAAGAGAAGAAAAAAGCATTAGATTATATGAAAAGTGTTTATTACCTTAGAGAAGGAATGTCTTCTTAAATATGACATAGAAGCCACAAAAGAAAAGACTGGCATATTTGACTATTTAAATATTAAAAGTATCACTTTAGCCCAGGGTAGGGATTTTTTTCCCAGAATATATGGTTGGATTGATATCAGCAATAATGTACCACAAGGACCAAAGACATGTAATGTATCAGTAGATGCCAAAAGAGTATTGAATAAAATTCTAGACTTTCCTAATAATAACTCTATATAAAATAAGAATAAGAGAAATAATTAATATGATAAAGACTCTTTATCCCAAATTCATTTCTAAAGAATGAGGCAATAAGGCCATTTTCTATTAGATCAGAAGCAAAACAGCATGTCTGTTATCATCAGTTATTCAAAATCATTTTTTATAAGTTCTAGAGATTGTAATATATAAGAAATAAAATAGGCATAAATATGGAAAAGAAAAGGTCAAACATTTTTTTATTTACTGGCACATAATTATATACTTGGAGAATAAAAAAAATCCTAATAAGCAAATTGGAATTAAGAAAGTTTGAGGGTGGTAGATATAAGGTGAATATCTAAAAGATCAGTTGTTTCTCCATTTTAGCAATTACCAGCTGGAAACGGGAGAGTTTTCCATTCAAATAAATGTATAAAACACTTAGGAATCATATTTAAAGAATAACAAAATAAATATGTAAATGCAGATGTTTTGAGTGGAGAAGGGGATCTGGTTGTGAGCAGAACTGATAAAGTTTTATGKGTAGGGTTTTTTGTTGGTTTGTTTGTTTGTTTGAGACCAGTCCTTACTAAGTTGCTGAGGCTGGACTTGAACTTTGTGATCCTCTTGCCTTAGTCTCCTGAGTTGGCATTATAAGTGTGCACCATCACTTCTAGCAGTAAAATTTTCTTAAAGACATTAAATACCTGGGAATAGCGAAGACAATTATGAAAAAGACTTGTGAGGGGCTCTTGCCTTACTAGATAAAATCACAGTAAAGTAACATAGTAGGAAGAGTGTGATGTTGGCATGGAGTAGATAAATAGCTCAGTGGAACAAAATAGAAAGTTAATACACCTATGGAAAAAGAGTCATTTAAATATGGCAAAGGCGTATTTCAAGTGAGAAAGAGATATGTATAAATAATTGACACTGGTGCCAACATGGGAAGGGAGAAGGAGGAGGCCCCTGGGTGTTGAAGGGCACCTGGCTAGGTCTGGGTTGGTTTGGTCCTCATCTCCATCATCTCTCTGCTCAGGTGTTGCCATGGTGATGGCTGTGGAGGACAGCATGGTGCAGGTGATGGTGCGGGTGCGACCCCCCACCCCTCGGGAGTTGGAGAGTCAGCGGTGGCCTGTGGTTCAAGTGGTGGACGAGCGGGTGCTGGTGTTTGACCCTGAGGAACCTGATGGGAGCCTCAAATGGGGTGTTACCCATGACGGCCCCAAGAAGAAGGGCAAGGGCCTGACATTTGTCTTTGACCGGGTCTTTGGTGAGAAGGCCACCCAACAGGACGTGTTTCAGCACACCACAAGCAGAATCCTGGACAGCTTCCTCCAGGGCTACAACTGCTCAGGTAAGAACCTGAATCCTGCTTGGTAGCAGCCTTGCTTCCTTCTAAGGGGGGGTTTCCCCTGTCTCCTGACATAGGTCTGCCTGTCCCTCAGCTGGCATGACCTGTTGAGGGGAGCTCTGGCCTTTTCATCCTGTCTGGAGGGGCCCCATTCATTCACTGTACTGTGCGAGGCACTATAAATATAGACACTAGAGCCTAGCATACAGTAGGCAGTCAGACAGACGCAGCTCCTGGACTCTTGATGCTGACAGTCTAAAGAGGAGAAGACACTGATCACAAAAACACAGCTGCATTTGTGTTTATGAACCACAGTGAATGCTAGTGAGGGAAACAGTGGTGGGCCTTCATTGGAGGAAACTCCCTAGACTGGAGGAGCTGGTGATAACRCCCACCCACAGTGCAGCTCCCTGGAGTCCACAGACTTGTGGGAGCCACGACAGATGTGTGGAGGACCAAGAGGCTGAGCATGAGTGCTGGGTAGGGTACAAGAGGTAGGAGCAGTGGAATKGCAGACTGGTGGACATGGATGAAAAAGGAAAGGGGCTTGGGAGAAAGGCAGGGCTGAGCTGGGTGGAATATGCTGGTAGCAACCCTGGGGGAGGCAGGCCTGGCCTTGCTGACACCCTTCTCCCTACTCTGTCCTCTGCAGTGTTTGCCTATGGGGCTACTGGGGCTGGGAAGACACACACCATGCTGGGAAAGGAGGGGGACCCTGGCATCRTGTACCTGACCACCATGGAACTATACAGGCGTTTTGAGGCCTTCCAGGAGGAGAAGCAATTCGAGGTGCTCATCAGCTACCTGGAGGTAGGACTGCTGCCTCTCTCCCACCCTCCGCCCTGGGGCTCCATCGCTCATTCATCTTCACCCTGCAAAGTGCCTTGTGTCTGGTGCCTCAAATACACACCTGTTTCTTGCTTCCCTGTCCAGCAACTGTGCCCATTCCAGCCTGCACTGAGTCGAGAGTCCTCTCCCTCTTGTCCTTTCTCCTCAGGTGTACAATGAACAGATCCATGACCTCCTGGAGCCCAAGGGACCCCTAATCATCCGCGAGGACCCTGACAAGGGGGTGATGGTGCAAGGACTTTCTTTCCACCAGGTATAGGATTGGGCACAGGTGGGAACAGCAGCCCCACTTGTTCTCCAGGGTTTCCTCATAAGGCAATTTGGGGATATCCTGGATGTTGGGGTAGTGGCAGTAGCAAGAGAGGGGTGACATTGGCTCTGAAGATCAGCCCTTCCTGTTAGGGGAAAAGCCCTGGTGGGAGACCACAGCCCCCTCCCTGCCGTCTCCTCTGCAGCCGGCCTCAGCTGAGCAGCTACTGAAGATGCTGACCAGGGGGAACCACAACCGCACCCAGCACCCCACAGATGCCAATGCTACTTCCTCCCGCTCCCATGCCATCTTCCAGGTGAGCAGGGTCATGGACTGAGCATGATACCTGGGCTCCTGGTGCCCACGTCCCCCTCACTCCTACCCTTCCCCTCCAGATCTTTGTGAAGCAGCAGGACCGAGTCCCAGGACTAACTCAGGCCCTACAGGTGGCCAAGATGAGCCTGATTGACCTGGCTGGCTCAGAGCGGGCATCCAGCACCCATGCCAAGGGGGAGCGCCTGCGGGAGGGGGCCAACATCAACCGTTCTCTGCTGGCCCTCATCAATGTCCTCAATGCCCTGGTRGATGCAAAGGTAAAACAGTGCAGGCCCAGCACCCAGGACAGCAACTGAGGCCTAAACCCAGTGGTCCTTGTCTTCAGCCCTGGGCGGGAGGCCACCAGACCCTGACCAGGTTAGTCTAATACAGCTGTGTCTCCCCTAATCCACTGACTGCCCCAGGGCCGCAAGTCTCATGTGCCCTACCGAGACAGCAAACTGACCCGCCTGCTGAAGGACTCCATTGGGGGCAACTGYCGCACAGTGATGATTGCTGCCATCAGCCCCTCTAGCCTGTCCTACGAGGACACTTACAACACCCTCAAATATGCTGACCGGGCCAAAGAGATCAAACTCACGGTGTGTACCAGTTAGGGATGGCCAACCTGAGTGTGGAGGGATCTCCTAACCTGGTAGGAGGATGGGACAGGACCAAGACAGCTTCCTCAGATCCCTGTCCAATGTCCCCAAGCAGAGGAAAGAAGTTCCCTGGGCTCTGATAGGAACARCACTGTCCCTGCCTTTGGGAAGATTCCAGTTGGACCAAGGCAGACAGTCTACTCTGAGGGAGACAGGGAACAGGGGGCCCAGTGGGCCAGTAGCCTGGTTCTGACTTGTTTTAAGCAGTAGGACCATAGTTTTAGCAAAATGACATAAACACCCATGTATGTTAACAAAAGCAGAGGTGCTTTGGCCTCCGCCATACTTGCTGGGTCTTCCCTTATGGGCCTCCCCTCCCTACCTCCTCGGGAGCCCTGGCTCACCTGGAACTGCTGCAGATCAGCCCCCATCTAGCAASAATGTCTTGTCCAGAGAGTCAGGCATCAGATTCATAGGCAGGCACTCCTCTGTCCTTTGCTGTGGTCCCAGGCACATTACTGACCTTCTCTGGTCTGTTTTTCTACCTGTAAGAGGGAGTCCTTGGTACTGTAAGTGAGGTTCCTGTGTGATGCCTGGTCACCAGAGGTGGTTGATAACAACTGCTTTGTATGAACAAACCAATCTTTTCCCTGTGTCTCCGTCTCAGCTGAAGAGCAACGTGATCAGTCTGGACAGTCACATCAGCCAGTATGTCACCATCTGCCAACAGCTCCAGGCTGAGGTGAGGAGCTTACCTGGGGAACAGACTTGGGGCAAGGAGTGAGAGACAGGAGCTGAGGTGCAGCAGGGCTCTCTGCCCATTCCTCACCTCTTGGGCTCAGCTGAGTTTAAGACTGCTGTCATTGCAGGTGGCCTCCCTAAGGAAGAAGCTTCAAGCATATGAGGCAGGAGCTCAGGTCCCACAGCAGGGTCTCCCACAGTCCCCCAAGTTGAGCCCTCAACAGCAACAGTGAGTTCTACTGCCCATATACGTCCCACCCTTCAGCTCAGCTGGGACAGGGAACTGGGCCCCTTCTCTGTCTTTCAGATGTTCCATACTTAGGGTTGGGGATTCCTACCAAGGGCCAGCAACTGATTATCTCCTAGAATGTCTTGTTTTGTCAAATGAGCATATAAGCAAGTGGAATCTACTCATTGAGAGAAAGTGAACTTAGAGTTTGGGTGTTATTGTTTCTTAAAGCAGAAAATCCCTGAAACCTTCTTCTACCCTTAACCATAGCCCATCTGACACTCAAGCATTGTTTCTGGGCTCTGCCACCTGGTGCTGCAGAGGTCCCCCTCCCTGCTCACCCTTTCTGCCCCCACATCATATCTTTCAAACTCTTATTTCCCCCTTAGCCTTCCTAGCTCCCCTTTAGTGTCCCGTCCCCGCAGCCAGCCCTGGACCCCAGAACTCCACGTGAGATCTGGAGATCTTCAAGAGGGGAGCCTGGGGACAGAGGCCCATGAACAGAGGGTCATAGAAGAAAGCTCTTCAGACCAGGAGCAGACCCCAGAGGACAAGGACGAAGACCCTACTGAGGTAGGGCTTAGGGGCAGGAGGCCTGGGCCTCCGGGGGGCTTGGGGCTGGTAGAATATTTGAATAAATGTGTCTCTTTAACTCAGCGTCCCTTTAATCCCAGTTCTCCTCCTGGGTTTCTTACGTCTGTCAGATCCTTGTATGTTTGGAAGTGACTGGGAGAAAGCAAGCTTCTCCCAGGGCATGACCATTCTGCGGGGAGCTGCCATCCTGCCCCTGCGGGAGGGAAGGGTTTTAGAGTTTTAGGAGGTCATCCTGGCTCCTCTACCCCCTTTTTCTTTAGGTTCCAACCCAGACACTGGAGCAGAACCTCAGACCCTCACTGTCAGAGTCTGCTGGTCTGACCCCGCAGCCTAAGCCGGTGGCCAGCCACCTATCACCACAGAACCTGGATGGGGACCGTTCTAAGCAGTGAGTGGCTTTTGCTTCTACTCTGGCCTCCAGGGTGGGAAGTGAGGGGCTTATCCTCCTGGGGGTGGGACCTGGTTCTAATTAAGAGTCAAGTTTCTTTTCATCGACGTCATCCCTTATCTGCTTTCAACTGCTAGATACGATCACCTAACTATTTACTTAGCATCATCTCTATTTATTCCTCCATGTAACTGGCAGCCCAACAGGCGAGAGAAGCAAAACACCAAATTCCATCCGGACAGCCAGCAAGTGCTGAGCTAGGGCAGGCTGCTAGGGCTAGCACTTGGCCTGGCAATTTGAGGGCAGAGCTGCTGTCAGAGTGAGGAGGGTGCAGCTGGGAGGAGCTGGGTGTCAGGCGGAGGAGGGGTCAACCTTCCTGAGTCAGTTGCTTCTCATGCATCTTCATCAACAGATCGACTGTGGCTATTTTTTTCTCAGAAATAAATACAAACTTCCAACTTGAGCCAGAGAGGAAGGGTTTGGGGACCTTCCTTCTGTGCTTCACTGAAGGGCGCTGCTGTATTTTTCCCTTGGCCCCAGGTCCATAAATCCCCTGCCGCTTAGTGGTGCTACTGCCAGCCCTGCTCCCCCCCTCCCCAGCATGCTTCACACTAGGCAGTGTATTTAAAGCTTCCGGACAGAAGGGCCTGTTTAATTTTATTTCTTGTTGGGGAGTGTCTGTTCCCGACTCAGCAAAAAATGCTGTGGCCTGAATAATCAGCGGCTCATTATCTGTCTCTTGCTGCCAATTCCCTGGGGCCTGGAGAGGCAGGGATGCACGGGTGGGTTGTCCCGTTGGCCTCCCAGGGAACAACCACAGGTTCCCACAGATGACTCATGGTCTCTCTGCTTGGTGTCCCCTCTTATGAGGAGAGAGGACCAATGTCCTCATTTCTGCTCTGCCTCTGGTTTTGTGGTTTCCGGCAAGTTTTTTCAATCTTGGCTATGATTTGGGGATCATAATCTTTATTCTCCCTAGTTCTTGGAGAATACTAATGCAATATTAATGAAGTACTAATACAATATGATAGGAGACCCCCCCTAGATTAAGGAGTGGCAGAACATTCTAGATCATTTCCATGTTTGGAAACACTCTGACAAGCAGATAATCGAAAATCATTTCTATTTGGCTTTCGAATTGAGAATCTTGGATCATCAGGACATTGAACAGAGCTGAGATTTTCCGGTTCAGTGGTTTCATAGGATTTTTTTTTTTTTTTTCAGTTGCAGAGTCCTCTCTTTACATGGAATCTCACGCTGAGTTCTAATAGATATGACAGACAGCAGAGTTGCTTGCTGTCTAATAGGCGTTTGAAACTTAATTTGAAAATTCCTGATTTAGACCAATTCCCCAATTGTTGGCTGGAGGGGGGGGTGGGGGCTGAGGCTTCTGTGCAGGGTCAGACCTGGGTCATCTGACTTCCAGGCCCATTCATTTCCCTCCAAAACCCCCTCTTCTCAGTAGTCTAATAGGCCTCAAAGCTGCTTTACCAAATGAGTGTAAGTTCCCTGAGCACACGTGACCAAGGGCAGTGGGGGTTCAGAGGTATCCAGACAGGTAGTGTTCCCTGAAGGTAAATCACTTGCTGTGAATAATCCTACTGAGGTAATTCTGTTTATTCTTTTATCATAGGTGTGCCTTACAGAAAGAAAATTTGCTTCATGAGAATCTAAATTTACAACATTAATAATCTCAATACCCTCAGAATTTCCTTTAAATAATTCCCAGAGCATGTAAAATATGTGTTGATTCACACATACTTTTTCAGGATCCCATACACTAAATAGAGGACACAGACCAAATGCCTTTTTGAGGGTCTTCTCAGAGCCAAGGTCAATTTAACCTATCTCAGTTTGTCTCCTTTTAACCTAATGAGTAGTAGATGGTATTATTACCATTTTGCATAATATAATAAACTCACAGTGTTTACCATATGTGAGATATTCTTTAAACATTCTGTAAACAAAATAACTTTTTGTTTTTGGTGCTGGTGATTAAAACCAGGGTACTTTACTGTTGAGCTATATCCCTAGCTCTTTTTTCCTTTTTTTTTTTTTTTTTTTTGAATTTTATTTTGAGACAAGAGTCTCACTAAGTTGCTTAGGGCCTCTCTAAGTTGTTGAGACTGACTTCAAACTTGGAATCCTCCTGCTTTAGCTTCCTGAGTCACTGAGATTATAGGTATACACCACCATGCTTGGCTAAAATAACTCAATCTCTCCAACAATCCTGTGAAGTGGGTGCATTTGTTATCCTTTTCTTAAATTTATGGACCGGTGCATCCAAGATCACACAGCTGAGAAGGGTTGAGCTGAGAGTTGAGCAGGTATCTGGCAGTCTGACTTGAGCTGGGTTTTTTTTTTTTTTTTTTTTTTTTGTACCTGGGATTGAACTCGGGGGCACTCATCCACTGAGCCGCATCCCCAGCCCTATTTTGTATTTTATGTAGAGACAGGGTCTCACTGAGTTACTTAGTGCCTTGCTTTTTGCTGAGGCTGGCTTTGAACTCATGATCCTCCTGCCTCAGCCTCCCAAGCCACTGGGATTACAGAAGTCCATCCAGTTTAAGCTGGGTTCTTAACAGCTACCTTATATTGCCCGCAAGGTAAATGAGTTTATGATCACAATGCTAATAAGTGGCAGGGCTTAGAGGAAACTAAGACCTTCCAAGTCCAAAGTCACTTAGCATGTTTCCCTACTTTCCATGTCACTGTCCTTGTCATGGGGCAGGTATAATGGGTGATACTTATTACCCTTGCCTATGACCATCTTGGCCTTTTGCAAGGATATGACAGAGTTGGAACCCTGGGTGAGAGGCCAGCCAGCTAGTGTGGGGCAAGGCAGGAGAAAACTAGGGGACCAGCTCAGGTATGTTCCTCAACCACAGCGAGTGATGGGGACAATGCCTGGCATAAAGGACCCTGGTCAGGCTGTATCTAAGTAGAGCTCCCTGTCCTTCTATTCCAGGTTGGCCCTGCAGGTGCTGTGCCTGGCCCAGAAGCAGTATTCCCTGCTCCAGGCAGCCAACCTCCTGACCCCTGACATGATTACTGAGTTCGAGACCCTGCGGCAGCTGGTGCAAGAGGAGAAAGCCGAGCCTGGGAACAAGACCTCCAGGACTCTTGGCCTGGCTGGGAGGGCCCCTCTGACCCAGGAGCTGTGTTCAGCCTCAAGTGAGTTTCACCCCTGCTCTGCCTGCCTATGGGTGCCCAGCTGGTTATACTGAATCATGCTGTGGTTAGGAGGCTGGACCCCAAGGATCGTGTACTTCTGCAAACAAAGAGGCCCCAGGAAACCTGAGGAGTTAAGGGTTCCTTCATGTCCCCAGTGTCTGGCTTCCCAAGTTCTTCACATTCTCTTTCCTCTTGTCTAGTCCCTGGTCTCTCCTCAGCACCCTCCTCTCTCTGCCCAGAATCTCCAGGGTACTGTGGCCCTGTGACCCGAACAATGGCAAGAAGATTGAGTGGCCTCATGCACCCTCTGGGGATCCCATCTGAGCCTGATTGCACCCTAGCCTCAGCATCCCAACAGCCCACAGAGGAGAAGAAGAAGAAGAAGAAGAAGAGAAAGAGCACAAGCCTCACAGAGCCAGACAGTCCCCTGGCCCCAAAGCTGGCGACCAAGCGCCAGCGCCAGTCTTTCCTACCCTGTCTGAGGAGAGGGTCTCTGCCTAAGGCTCAGCCTTCATGTGGGCCCAGCACCCCCAAAGGGGCAAGGGCCTCCTCCCCCTGCCATTCCCCTCGCTTCTGCCCAGCTACAGTCATCAAAAGCCGGGTGCCCCTGGGCCCTTCTGCTATGCAGAACTGCTCCACCCCTCTACCTGCTCGTGACCTGAACACCACTTTTGATCTCTCTGAGGAACCCCCCTCAAAACTCAATTTCCATGAATTTGTTGGCTGGGAGAATGTCCCCCAGGAACTGAACCGGCTGGACCAGCCCTTCATTCCCAGGTGAGTCTCCCTCCCAACCTCCCAGCATAGGTCAGGAGTCAGCAAGGGTGCTGCCAACAAGAATGGAAGACACTGGATTTAGGAGACAGGATATTTGCCATCTTTTTCCCTTTGGTCATGGTCAGCTTTGCCACCCAGTCCCAGGAGAGCAGAGTGCACAGAGGACAGGAGGCATGGCTTAATCAGGGGCCGTCCTGTCACATCGGGGCCTTCATGCTCATATCCACCAGCTCTATGCTGGTTTGTGGCTTGCGCATGCATAGCTAATAGAACCCCCACTTGGGAAGAGTCAGCAGGGAACCAGGAATTAATGAGCCCAGCCCTGTCTGTTCCTCTGCCTTGCTTGGGCACTATGTCCTGATCTGAGTTTTGTCCCACTGRAACAAAAACTATTTCTGCCACTTTCCCCCCCCAGATTTTTCCCCTCCAGCCCAGCATCTGGAATAGAGAAATAAAACTTTCTTCAGTATTTTCCAGTGAGAAGGTCCAGCTGTTACCCTTGCCCTCCACCCACATGTCCAGAGAGAGGAATAACAACCAGCTCAGGACAGTCCAAGGCCAAGAACAAGTGGCAGGCTGACCGGGACCTGTGAGGCAGAGGCCACAGGCTGCCCACCTGCACTCCTGCACCTTCCATGGCCCCTGAACCTGCTCTCGGTAACAAGCTCAGAGCTGGGCAGGTGGAAGGGTGAAATTGTTTGAACTCCAGTTCCCAGAACGCACCAGAAACTGACATCTGGATGTTCTCCCAGAACAGGGCTGTCACTCAGCTGTCAGCCCAGGCCTGGTGAGGCAGGGAGAGAATCCACCTCTTAGCAGGAAGAAACTTCAGGTCATCTTGTCCAACCTCCCCGTCCTCGCAAGCTGGGAGTTAGAGGGAATAAGAGTAGCCACTGTCACTTCTGGTTCCTTCCTTATCTGCTTCTCTCCCTCTGCCCACTCCCCAGTGAACCTGTGCTCCTGCTCACCATGAAAGGCCCCAAACCAACATCTTCCCTCCCTGGAAACTCGGCCTGTAAGAAGAAGCACACTATGAGGTAAGGTCTGGAAGCTGTTGAGGTGAGGGCATGGAGAAAGAGCCCTCATTGGGGTGTTAGGCACCTAGGCTGACCACAGACCCCTTCCTGATGTGTCTCTGGACTCCTTGGAGCAAGCAGCCAAGGTCCTGTGAGCAGAGCCAGCATCTAATTCTCTGATTGGAATTTCTTTGGCCTTTGATTGCTATTATAGGATCATCCCAGAGTGATCATCTAAGGTCCCCTATCCACAGGGAGATATTCAGCATTTATTGGTTAATCCAAATGATTGGACTATCCCCTTCTTTATTCTATGTCCCAAACTCCACAAGCCTCTCCAGCTCCCGCATCTGGCCTTGGAAACTCTTCCTGGTTCTCAGCTCCCCTGCCCTCAAGGCTTGGCGGATAGTGCTGTCTCCCTCCACCTACCCACAGTCAAGGGCATGGCTGTAACCTTCCTTGCTTCCCTTCCTCTCTCAGTTCCTCAGTCTCCCAGGGCCGCAGCCGCATCGCCCGCCTCCCCAGCAGCACCTTGAAGAGGCCAACTGGGCCCCTTGCAATCCCAGGTGACTGATTGAGGGGAGGGGTGACTGGTCCACAGTGATAGTTGAAATAGGATGCAGGAGGGGACAGAGTGGGGTTTGGATCCAGGTGAGAGGAGAGCTCTCAGGGACCATGAAGAAGGAGGTGGAAGATGGGACAAGAGGCAGGGGAGCTGTGGGGCACAGCCTCACCTTCTTCCTGTACCCACCTGCAGAGCCATCCTTGAGTCCCCGCTGCCTCAGTGATCAAAGGACCCAGAAGGAACTGATTGGGACTGGAGGTRTACTGTCAGCTGGAAACTGCATTGCCAAGGTGTCCTGATCTCCAAGCTGTCCAGCTCCTCCAGCCCCTCTAGGCTCAATGCCTTCACTTTGTCCCTGGAGCCTCGGAYACCAGGAACCCTGACCTTCTTTCCTTACCTTGGAAAAATTCATGCCGATGCACATTTCCTTTATTTAACACCCGCCCCAACAATTCATTCTGCTACTCGTCCTCTTCATTTTATTTTTTTTTTTAAGACAGAGTCTCACTATGTTGTCCAGGCTGGTCTTGAACTCACAGTCCTGCCTTTAGCCCCCGGCAGCTGGGATTACAGGCATGCGCCACCACGCCCTCCTCCCGTCCTCTTTATTAATCTCTGTAACACTCAGCTTCTCAGCATGTACATATTCATTTGTGAGTGTTAATGTGTTRATATTTAAAGGTTGCTGCCTGTTTCCCCCTCATTTCCAAAGCCCACYATCAGGCCAGGGGCTCTTTTGGGCTCTGTTGGCTACCCATGTCTAACACAGAGCTCTGTGCGGGGATAGCTGTTGCCTCAGTGGAGGGATGAGGCCAGTGGGGGTGTTCGAGGGAGTCACATCTTGGCTCTTCATGTTTTCTGAGAGGGGAATCTAGCCTCACCCTGGCCCCTGTCCTGGTTATGATGGAGCTAATGATGGTGGCTTGATTTACAGAGGAAGCCAACTTTATTAATCTTTACGCATTATACATAGACACACATGAGAATAAGAAGAAAGGAGAATGAATGCAGCCTTAATGTTACCACCCAGGTATAAATTATAAGTGCTAGTGATTCCAGGGTTTACACCCTCCTGCTTCTTGATTTATGCATATATATGTATATATATATGTGTGTGTGTGTGTGTGTATATATATATATATATATATATATATATATATATATATATATATACACATATATATATACACACACACACACATACCCACATTTACACACATATATGATGTATTTTTTTACTATAATGATTAATAAACCATTTCCATCCTTGGTGTGTGTTTTTCCTCTGTACACCTACGTGGGATGGCAACACTTTCTCTTTCTCACCTTCTCATTCTTCGAAATTTCTGAGTATAGAAAACAACACCCACCCAGCCTCCTGCTGCAGGAGGTCTGGGGCTAGGACTGAGCCCAGCTCCTCACTCCAGTTCCCAGTCCTCCTCCCTAATGGGTCTTTATTTCTGGGGGAGCAGGGGTCAAAAAGCAACCTCATCTGGGGGTCTGGTCCATGCTACCACCTCAGGGGTGGGTTGCCTGGAGTCCTGCAGTCAGGGAGAGGTTGTTTTTTTGTTTTGTTTTTTAAGAGGGAGAGAGAGAGAGAGAGAATTTTTTTAATATCTTTGTTTGTATGAGGTGCTGAGGATCGAACCTGGGCCGTATGCATGCCAGGCGAGTGCGCTGCTGCTTGAACCACATCCCCAGCCCYAGGGAGAGTTTTTTGTTATTGTTTTGGTACTAGGAGTTGAATCCACTGAGCCATATCCCCAGCCCTTTTTTATTTTTGAGACAGGGTCCCACTAAGTTGTCCAGGATGGCCTCAGATTTGCAAATCTGCCTCTGCCTCCTGAATCACTGGGATTTCAGGCACTCTGTGCCACTGTGCCTGACTGGAGAGTTTTTGGTTTTTTTTTTTTTTCAGTGGTTCAAGGTCCCACTGCTGGAACCCAGTGCAAGGGGGCTGGGGGCCTGCCTTCCTTTCCACTCAGTGGATTGTGTAGAACATAGTTATCTCTCTCCTCTCCATGAAGACATGGTTGACTGAATGAATTAATAGTGTAAATAAAATTACAGGAATCTGTTTAACTTGCTTCTGAAAACAAACATGTTAGGGGTATTTAGCACATTGTGAGTAGTGTGTAAATAACACTGCTAAGTTCAAGGCAGTCCTAGCTTCTCTGGGGGACCAGCCTCCCTGTCTACTTGGTGTACCCCTCCTGCTCAGTCCCAGTCCCTTTTTGGAGGTGTGGGRAAGAATACTCCTGCAGCTGCTGGCTTCTTGGAGCTTCACAGCCTTACAAGGTGGATAATGGAAAACGGACCCAAAAAAGGGTTCACCAAACCTGCCCACAGTTAAACAGCATGTGCTTCGGATCCAAGCCYAGGGTCTAGTTCTTAATGTTGGGCTGCTTCCCTTTGGAAGTTAACAGACATCATTTCTTTTCACATGCCTGGGGTTCCCGCCTCTCCAATTAGCCTTAATGAGTTTTTCCCCCTTGTGTACTGTGATTCCCTTGGAATCAGTCAGTTTCACATCTGTAGCCTCTGGCAGCCTGGCATGGTGCCTTGACCTCKGGAGGCCTCACTGAATGTTGGCTGGATTCAAATTGAATAACTTCCCCATTTCCTGGGGCCCTCACATATATTATCTCATTTGATCATCACCGTCACCCTGGAAGGGCAGAGGCAGCAGGCACAGGGCAAGGCGGCTGGTGACTAGGGCCAGGAGGGCAACCTCCAAACAATAGGGTCCTTTCACGAGGCAGAATTTGCCTGGGATGGGGGCAGTCCTAGAGTGGGAGAGGTCACACTTGACAAGGATGTCCGGCAGCCAGCCATCCTCTTGGCAAACATTTGTGGCTCTGTGGTGCAAAATATGCTCTCGGGTGACCCATTAAATGCACAAAGACTGTGCTGATGGAGTTAAGCACGTGCAGCTCCTGCCCTCAATCATGGGAGGTCGGGCTGAGAGCGCTCGCTGTGTGGTGTCCCTCATGCCAGAGGCAGCCTGGCTTTGCAGGGAGCAGGCAGGGACTGAGTGGGGCAGCAAGCTGAGAGCCAGCCCTCAGCTGACCTTAGTGGGCGGTGAGGCTCTGGATTGTTCTCTGGATTGGATTGTTCTTACATAAAGAGAATCGTCCATGAGACATGGCAATCGATGGTTTCCCATTCATTGCAGGCCCAGCTTGGCCTAACACCCCCTCACCTCTGCCTCATTCTAGCTCTCACTCCATTTCCGTGGGTTTAGGAGCCCCTCTCCCCAAGCCCCTCCACTCACCTCCTTTCTCATCCTGAAACTCATGCCTGGCCCTTCCTGGGGTACAAAATTTGCCCAGTTCATAGAACCAGGCTCAGTGCCAAAAGCTGCCAACGCAGAATAAGACATGATCCCGCCATGCAGGGAGTCAGGATGGCACCTGTCCCTGACACTTGAGTGTAAGCCAAATCCTCCAGTGGTGTTGGTACCTGTCAAAGGGAAAGAACCGGGCTTTCTCTTTGAGTCCAGCCTCCACTCAGCTTCCGCTTGGCCCTCACAGGGGACATCACCACCTGGGGAGCCTCCTTGACAGCAGCTAACTCAGGAGTCCTGTCCCAGAGCCCTGCTTGTCAGTCCCCAGATTCCCCCAGGAATGGGCCTCTCCCTCTTGGCTGCATGTAGGGGATCCTGGTTCCCAGCCAGAATCTAGTTTGTAGTTGTCTTCTTCTCCTGCATAGTTCTTCTGTGAAGAGGGGCCCAGGAAGACTTGAGACAAAGGTCATGGGGGAAGAAAGGAACCAGAGTCACCCCAGGGGCTTCTGGCCATGGCTATGCTTTCCAGCACCCCTCCCTCAACTAAGTACTCCCCTCAGTCAGGTGCATCCCTCCTGCCCTGTTCATCTGGTCCATTTGGAGAACTGCTGGTTTGGAAATAAAAGACTACCCACCCCCCACCCCTCTCCTCCCACCAGGGCCACATCTGGTCCCCCGCCTCTTTCCCTCCCAGAAGGACCTAATCAGGCAGGGACAGGAGGGGAGGGGAGCAGGGAGCAGAACAGATCCGAGAAAGCAATTAAAAAGCCTATCTCAGGGTTAGAGGCTGGGGGTGAGGGGCAGGCTGGAGCCAGCCCTTGCTGGGGTGAGGAGAAGCAGGGAGAAAGGGCCTCAGCTTATTAACCCTGGGGTCTGTGAAGGTGAGTGAGCTTATGCCTCTAAGAACATGCTGAGAGGGGCCAGTGAAGAGGAGGGGATGGAGTCTGGGGTTCAGCCTGGAACCGTCCTGTAGCCACAGAGGTCATTTCTAAACAGAAAAGCYTGACTGGGCATGGGCTGAGCAGGGGGAGAAGGAATCGTCCCTGCTCTGAGATTGCCCCCCTTCAAATGAAGGGGGAGACAAACCCTGCCTCCAGGAGCCCCATTGGACATTGAACCATGGGGTCCAGTGGTAGGGAGCTCTGGTCCAAGATGCCTTAGTCTAGGCAGAGGAAGATTCTATATTCTTAGGCAAATCTGGATCTGAGGGTCCCAGGATCAGGAAGTCCCCATCTGTGGGGGGAGACATGGACCCTGTCCTTGGGAGTCCTCAGGCTGAGGTGCAGACAAGATCCACACCCATGAGAAGTGTCAACATATCCAGAGCTTCTGGAACTGAATGGAGTCGTGGGCCTCAAGTCTGGGGATGAGGAAAGGCAGATGTCAGGGAGGAGAGAATGCAAGTTAGGAAACAACTCTGCTAACCTCTGCTCCAAGTTTGCAGAGCTGACAGAAGGAACTTGCATGCATTCCCTGGAGAACCTAAAGCCACCAATGACTGGTTGTTTGAGGGCAAATTGTGCTGATTCCCTCCCTCTTCACTAGCAGCTGCCCCTCTGCTGTCCACCCTGCCAGGGTGGTGCCCACATAGTCCCAATGCAGCCAGTAGGACATGGCCACCCCCACTCAGCTCCCACTTCTCCCAGCCAAACCCATCCCAGATGCACTAGCATTAGACAGGTAAAGCACGCGGTAGGTGTTATTAAACGGAATGRTTTGTCAAAGGCACCTGCCCTGTCCAATTTTCACTGATTTTTTGTTTTGTTTTCTGGGTTTTTTTGGTAACAGAAACTGAACTCAGGGGTWCTCCACYTGAGTTCAGTTTCTGTTACCAAAAGAACAGAGCCACATCCCCAGCCCTCTATTGTATTTTATTTAGAGACAGGGTCTCTGAGTTGCTTAGTGCCTCKCAGTTGCTGAGGCTGACTTTGAACTCGCAATTCTCCTGTCTCAGTCTCYCAAGCTGCTGGGATTACAGGTGTGCGCCACCGTGCCMGGCTAATTTTCACTGATTTTATCCTCACAATTATCTTGGAGAAATAGGTATGGCAAATCCCCATTTTACAGATGTGGAAATGGAGACTCAGAGAAGGTTCCTCAAGTCGTCTGACTTTACAGCTATTGAGGAGCAAAGGCTTTGCGCTGTAGAGGACACAATCATAGCAGTCAGAGGCAAGTCTAGAGAATAAAGGGGTTGATCTTTCTTGGTGATACAAACGTGGGTTTTAGAAAACCCACAGCAGGTTTTAGAAACGTGGGTTTTAGAAAACCCACAGCGACTTTTCCCTTCCTGCGCACTGCTGTGGCCAGACGTGGGCAGCTGAGCACTGCCATCTAGTGGCATTGGGACTCAGCTCTCTTCCTCTGGTGGGGACTAAGGGATCAACCAGAGGGACTTTAAGGCTCTTTATCCATCCTACCCAGCTTGTTCACCACATGATGGGCAGGCATTGGGTGAGAGGTGGGGGCACAAGCACAAGCAGAGCCACTAGGAGGCAGCTAAGTGGGAAAATGGTCACTTGAGTAAGAGACTGGCATATTTGGAAATCATCAGAACCTCATGTTGTGTGGGTTGAGGCCTGAGAGGGGTTGATTTGTCTCAGGAGGACTTTGGGCTTTGCCCTTTATGCAGGAGTTCATCTAAAAGATTCTGGTTCAGGGAGAGGAGCACAGAGAGGTCATCTTGTCCCCACATCAGCTTGAGGCAGGGCATAGCTTGGCTGCAGACTCTGTGAAGACACACCTGATTCCAGCAGCTCAGGAGCCTGAGGCAGGAGGATCACAAGTTCAACTTAGTGAGGCCCTAAGTAACTCAGCAAGACCCTGCCTTGAAATAAAATATTTAAAAGGGTTGGGGATGTGGCTCAGTGGTTAAGCATTCCAGGATTCAATCCCCAGTACACGCCCTTCACCAATATATATATATCTCCCCATGCATCTATCTACCAGTCAGCTTAGGCTTTGGCCTGAGGCTTTGGATGTTGGGGCCTTCCTGTTGGAGAAGCACMAGAGGAGGCACCTCAGAGAATGAGCCCTAAACCAGACTGGGAGGATGGGTGTCCCATTAGAGGCTGGGAGGGCTGAGGGCTGCCTTGCTCCCGTGGCTGTGTCTGCCTGGGGCAGATGGGCATGAGGACAGTTTAGGAGAGAGAGAAAGGCAAACGTAACTGTCTAACAACAGGGCTTGGTTAAATGAACACAGATAGTAGAAAACCATGCAGCTGTTAAAATGATGATGTAGATAAATATTTATTGATATGGAAAGATGTTCACAACATATTGTTGAGTAAGAAAAGCAAATTACAAAATAATTTGTGCAGCATGAGCCTATTTTGGAAAATTGAGTTATATGTGTAGAAAAAAGCTGGTATCTATCTCCATGTGGTAAAATTATGGCTAATTAAATTCTTTTGTATTGCTTATCTGTATTTTCCGATTTTTCTACAATAATTATGTCACAAAAAAATAATGGTTATGAAAGTTTGCAAAACAACCATGACTGACTTTTGTCTCTGGTGAGATTCCTGAGAGGGTTTGGGGCTGATTGTGGAAGGGGTCTCAGGATCCTGTGGGAGTTGAGGATGGAACTGGGCTATAACAGGGCACAAGGAGAAGGCCTAGGGTGGGGAGTCTGGGTGACCTTTGTGCTGGTGCTAAAACAAACTCATGTCTGCATGCACAGGAGCAAGTCTCTAAGCTCCAGTGATGAGCATCTTCTGTTCTTATTGTATCTTTTCCCTCCAGGACCTCTTTGCCCATATTTCCCTTCGATTTGCCTTAAAGAAGGCAAGACYACATACTATTTCCTGTTGGGCAGCTAGGAAGGGTAGGCCACCCCAGAGATGAGGCTGGGGACAAAGTCTCCTGCCTTGTCTTGCTCTTTCTTTAAAGTACCTTGTCCTTCTCCAGCCTCCCAACCACATCAGGATSGAAGGTCACCAGGACCCCCTCCTCAGGATTTCCCTCATCATGACACTACTCAGGCCAGGGGCAGATGTCATTGGAGTCCAAGGGCTCTCACCTCCCTCTCTGCACTGGGACTCATTGAGGGAAAACTTAGTAGCCAGCTCATCAGATGTCCAATTGAAAAACATGTCCCCTGGTGTGGAGTTGGGGGTGTTGCTTTTACTGGAGCTTGGGGGCCTAAGCTGGCTTGAGAGTTGGGGCTGGGGCAAGCAGCCAGGCCTTGTCTGCAAGTGGGAGACCTGGCGGTGCTGGGCTGGCTACCCCCAGAGTCTCCTCCTTGGGCCTGCTGAGTGACTCACCTTGGCACAGACACAATAGTCAGGGTGGGCACACAGCCTGCTTCCCGCTGCACCCTAGCCCTTTTCAGATGCTTTCCGAGAAGCCCATTGAGCAAGGGGGCTTGCACTGTACCCCAGCCTGACATCCTGGAATCCTGGGATAAAAGCTGTACAGCCCCCTGGGGACTGCCCTTGCTGTATGGCGCCCATGCTGGCGGTGGAGAACAAAGCTCCATTCAGCAAGTGCCCTGGAGTAGAGATCAGAAGCTCAAGCCTGGGCAGTGAGGGCAGAGTACTGGGGGAACAGCACTATCTGGGCTCAGAAGGCTTTGGCGCCTGGGTGGGACCAGACTGGACAGGATGGATGGACCTAAAGTCTCAAGGGGCAACAGGACCAAGGACCTATGTTCCCAATTAAATCCCGTGGTTCCTGAATTCCCAAACCCACCCATTCCCAGAGGCCTTTCCCATCTCAGCCTGATGTGTGGGAACTTAAAAGACATAAATCTTCAGGGGGAGAGTGAGGGGTGACCAGGGAAACAGGGTGTAACAGGAACAAAGATTCGAGCCGGCACTGCCAGCTCATTCGTAACTGCTTTGTGGAGCTGTCAAGGACCAGGCTCTGGGAGCCTGTGCAGGGAGGCCAGGCAAACACAGGGCTAAAGAGAGGCTCAGGGAGAAGGCCTGTCCCTCCTGCCCTATCAGGATCTCCACGTCTCTTTCCCATAGCTATATAGAAACCTTAGTTGCCCCTCTAGGCATTCCAGGGAATGGGGAGAAAGCAGAAAAGCAGGACCTCTGTGCTTAGAGGGCATGACTCTGGATACCTGTTGGAATAGTGCTCAACAGAAAACTGTAGCATAGGCTGTTCTTTGCAGTATGGCATAGGTTCATTCTTCACCTAATTCCCTGCATTTAGCAGGCACAGGAAGAGGGAATGTGGAGTAAGGGAAGGCCTGGAAGCAGGTCAGAGGTCACCTGGCACAGCTCTTGTGTGCATGTGCGTGCACACATGCATGCATATGTATGGTCCTAAGGATTGAACCCAAGGCCTCCTGCATGCTAGACAGCTCTCTCTGACTGAACTACACCTCCAGTCCAGGCCCAGTCCTTTCTTGACTCCTTCCTAGAGAGAGGGTCTCCTTGCTCATTGATCAGGGCTCCAGCCCCAGCATCCAGCCCTAGGTACCAGGAAATCCTGCCTCTGGGTATAGTGACCTTGGTGGGGTGAGAGAACTCTCCCGTGGCTGGGCTGCAGCCCAGCCCCACCCCCTCAGGCTATGCCAGGGGGCGTCACCAGGGCAGCCCAGGCAGGGCCAGGCTGGTCCACTCTCCCATAAAGCCCTCACATCCCAGGAGTCAGCAGAGGCAAAGCAGGATGGAGCGGCGACGAGTCACTTCTGCTCGCCGGTCCTACACCTCCTCCGAGATGTTGGTTCGGAGCCTGGGTCCCAGCCACCTCCTAGGTCCTGGCTCCCGCTTTACCCTGGCTCGAATGCACCCTCCAATCCCAGCCCGGGTGGACTTCTCCCTGGCTGGGGCACTCAATGCCGGCTTCAAGGAGACCCGGGCCAGTGAGCGGGCAGAGATGATGGAGCTCAACGACCGCTTTGCCAGCTACATCGAGAAGGTTCGCTTCCTGGAACAGCAAAACAAGGCGCTGGCTGCTGAGCTGAACCAGCTTCGGGCCAAGGAGCCCACTAAGCTGGCTGATGTCTACCAAGCTGAGCTTCGGGAGCTGCGGCTGCGGCTTGATCAGCTCACTGCCAACAGCGCACGGCTTGAGGTGGAGAGGGACAATCTGGCACAGGACCTGGGCACCCTGAGGCAGAAGTGAGGAGCGGGGGGTAGGGAAAGGGGGCTGGTGAGCAAAGAGGATGGAGCCTCTGAGAGGGCAAGGCTGCAGGGCTGCAGTCTCGGACAAGAGCTCAGCCTCTTTGCTCCCTGGGTTTCCCCACTTCTGGAAAAGTGGGGGCTATCATGTCCTGGGAGGGACCAGGTAGCAGTCTAAGACCTCAGGAATCTGATTCCCAAAGGACTTCTTCCAGGGAGCCAGACACTCTGGGTACATCCCCACAGGGGAGGCTATGCCAGGCAGCCAAGGGCCCCACTAGACAAAGGTTTTGCATTTGATTCTCTGGGCATTGAGAAGTGTGTGTGTGTGTGTGTGTGTGTGTGTGTGTGTGTGTGTGTGTGTATGTGTGTGATGGGAGGGAGTTGTCACCTATTCTGGGTCTGGGTCTATACAAAGGAGGAGTGACAAGAGGAGAAGGTGAGTGTCCACAAAGAGGGTTGGGCTCCAGGCTAAAGGAAGTAGGGGAAAGAGCAGGCAGGTCTGGGTGCAGAACAGAGGTGACTACATATCACTGGCCTCTGATCATATTCAAATCACTTTGACTTGCATGGCTATCAAGCAGAGATCACAGTAAAATTCATCTCAGAAGGTAGTACCTGGTGTCAGAGGAAACCCCAGAGGCATGGTGATTTGCTGAACAGTGGGCATGTATGTGCACCCTCCAATGCGGGAGGATGTGTGTCAAGCATGCAGCAGCAAGTGCACACTGGTGGATGCGCCTGTGTGAGCAGAATCAGGTGCACCACCCTGACAAGGCATCTTAGTGATGAGTTAAGGCAAAAGCCTTTGTCTGCTCATGATCCCAGTCAAGGCTTCTGTCTAGGACCCCTCTCTGACCCTCACTCCTCCTGCTACTCTACTGGTCCTGTGGGGGGGGGAGGGGCTCTGTGGTAGCCATCTCCTGGGAGATAGGGGCAAGATCCAAGAATCCTACAAGATCCTGGATCCAGGAATTTGTTCCCCATCCTAGGCTCCAGGATGAAACCAACCTGAGGCTGGAGGCTGAGAACAATCTGGCTGCCTATAGACAGGTCAGAAAGGTGGAGGGGAGGGTCAGGGAGGGGGAAGTATTGATGGCAAACACAGCCCCCAAGCCTAGCCCTTCAGAACAGTGTGCTGCTTCCCAACACCCCAGAAGGAGGGGTAAGACAAGGCTGGGGAATGGAGAGGAGGAGCCTGGAGTCAGAGTGGCCCAATGCCCCATCCCCACTCCAGGAGGCAGATGAAGCCACCCTGGCCCGTCTGGATCTGGAGAGGAAGATTGAGTCATTGGAGGAGGAGATCCGGTTCTTGAGGAAGATCCATGAGGAGGTGAGGCCAGGGCAGAGGGAGGGAAGCCCAACACACAGAGAGATACACACACTGAGAGAGACAGAGACAGAGATACTCTGAGACAGAGGAAGCAGATTGGCAGCAGAAAGAAAATGAGAGAGAGAGACAGAGACAGAAAGTGAAGGCAGAGACAGAGAGCATCCCCACCACCTGGTGAAAGGCACAAACATGCCCTCTGAACTGACAAGTGCAAGGCCTTGCTGCCTGGGTTTTTCTTCACATCATCCCTAAGAGATAGGAGCTCTTCCAGCTACCTTCTTTTCACAGAGAAAGACACTGAAGTCTATAAAAGTTAAAAAGTGTCCTAGCCGGGCATGGTGGCACACGCCTGTAATCCCAGGAGTTGGAGAGGCTGAGGCAGGAGGATCGCAAGTTCAAAACTATCCTTAGCAAAAGTGAGGTGCTAAGCAACTCAGTGAGACCCTTTCTCTAAATAAAATACAAAACAGGGCTGGGGACTTGGCTCAGTGGTCAAGTGCCCCCGAGTTCAATCCCCAGTACAAAAAAAAAAAAAAAAAAAAGATCTAAGGCTGAGGGAGCTTGGGTAACTTAGTAAGACCCTGTTTCAAAATTTTTAAAAAAGCTTTTTAAAAGTCCTAAGGTCACATAGTTAGTCTCTGATTCCCCACTTCCCTCTCTCCACTAAAATGAGAGCCATTCTTTTTCTCTCTGTTTTTGTTTTTTGTTTTGCACATGCCAGTTAAATGCTTTACTGCTGAGCTACATCCCCAGCCAAAACGAGAGCCATTCTTAAAAAAAAAAAAAAAAAAAAAAACAAACAAAAAAAAACCCACTAATCTCTGACCTCCAATTCTGGATTCACAATCCATGGCCCCATGGAACCTGGAAACCCACAGGCACATGCTCAGCACCTGCCTCCTATCTATCCAGCCCAGGAAGGACAATGACGAACTCTCTTTCCTACTTCTCTTAGTCTTGGCCATGCCACTTACTCCAACAAGGGCTGTCTCATCTCCCTTTGCCAATGCTCCTGGCCCAGGGGCAGGTAGAAGAGGGTGTGATGCTGTGAGAACCCCAGCTGAAGCCTACACCTGGAGCCCTGAGCCCTGGTACCCCTTCTCTCACCCTGGCCAGGAGGTGCGGGAACTCCAGGAACAGCTAGCCCGACAGCAGGTCCACGTGGAGATGGACATGGCCAAGCCAGACCTCACAGCAGCCCTGAGGGAGATCCGCACGCAGTACGAGGCAGTGGCGTCCAGCAACATGCAGGAGGCAGAGGAGTGGTACCGGTCCAAGGTAGCCTTGCCTGTGGGGCTCCTCAGTCAGCCCTCCTTGCTCCATACAAGAGGACAGGGGAAGGAGGGAGGAGGAAGCTAGAGGAATATCCTCTCAGTGACCAACCTCCCCAGAGAAGTGAGATAACCTGCCCAGGTCACACCRGCACTACTACTTCCAAAAGGACTCATTAATATTATTCCTGCTATTACTACTATTGTGTTACTAACATTGTTGTAATGCCAGGCCCTGTGCTTTGAGTGGATTATCTTACCATGAAGCACTATTCTTCGAGAGATGCGAGAACTGAAACCCAGAGAGRTTAACCAACTTGCCCAAAGCCACAAAACTCCTATGTGGTAAAGTAGGATTTCCAACCCTATCCCATTTCACTTGGGAGCCTGCATTCTTGATGCCTCTGCCAGTCTGCGTGCTGGGTTATGGAGCATTTACTGCATGCCGGGTTATTTGCTGGGATACAGAGAGGCATCTGAGCAGGGAGATGTGATAATGGACCTAAATAGGGCTGCATAGAGAAACACCACAGGGCAGTTTATTTGCAGCGTTGGAACTAGGGAAGTCCGGTGGGGGACATTTGAGCTAGAAAGAACAGGTGGGTTACCTATATAAAGAGAAGAGGAACAGCAGAGCTTGTTAGGAGGCTAGGAGGTGGAACACAGAGAGTTAGTACTTGGAGGTGCTGATCCAGGATGCCAAGGCTGAGGGGTGTGAGCAGCAAAAGCCTGTGACAGTCTGAGTAGGGTCAAGGCCTGCTGGAATGCTGAGTGCAAGCTGGGGGAAAGGGCTATTAGCACCCAGGGCTTTGCTGGCCAGGACCTATTATCCAAGGTGGGGCGGGTTTCAGGCCCATAGATAGGGCAGCCAGCACAGAGGTTCAAGATCCTTTGGCACTGGTCATTCTTTCCCCGGCTGAACAGGTACTGTGCTAGAGGCTGAGGCACAGCAGAGACTACTGTGCCTCCAATCCAGGGGTCACTGTCACTGGGAATAATCCCTGCCAGGGCCAGTGTCCTGGGGGTGACCTGGGTCATGCCCATCTCCGTGATTTCCCAGCAGTCTCCACGGGCCCACGCGGATCCCCTGGATATATGTGTCGGGGGCCCACCCCTCAGTTAGGGCTCTTTCCCCTTCTAGTTTGCTGACCTCACAGATGCTGCTGCCCGCAATGCCGAGCTGCTCCGCCAAGCCAAGCACGAGGCCAATGACTACCGGCGCCAGCTGCAGGCCTTGACCTGCGACCTGGAGTCCTTGCGTGGAACGGTGAGCAGTGGGGGTCACCACCACGTTAGGAGATGCTAAAAGAAAAGGGCTTGGGTAGGGACCTGGCAGAGGGCGGGGCTCCGATGTTACTCCGGGCTGGAGGCCAGGCTCGAAGCCTCTCAGAGTCGCGCAGAGGTCCCAGCGCTGTGCAGCATGCCGGGGGCCCCCGAGGGACAGGCCGGCTACATCCCACAGAACGAGTCCCTGGAGAGACAGATGCGCGAGCAGGAGGAGCGCCACGCGCGGGAGGCGGCGAGTTACCAGGAGACCCTGGCCCGTCTGGAGGAAGAGGGACAGAGCCTCAAAGACGAGATGGCCCGCCACCTGCAGGAGTACCAGGACCTGCTTAATGTCAAGCTGGCCCTGGACATCGAGATCGCCACCTATAGGAAGTTACTGGAGGGCGAGGAAAACCGGTGAGCCCAGACCACAGCCCTCGGGAAATTCTCCCTGCTGCCTCCCTCTAGAGTCTGCCTTGCTCCCTTCAGGGCCTGAGAGTGATCCATCCTTGGGTCCAGTTATTCTCCCACCCAGTGCCCAGCACATTGCCTGACCAACACACAGTACTATTCAATAGATGTCTGATGAATGGCTCCAACCAATATTGATTAGGTCCCAGGGTGGGGGGTACCTGGGTCACCCTCCAAACTAAGGGTCTCACTCCTCAGCCTCTCAACAAAGACTGGACTTCTRTTCCCCTGACTGATCTCTTCCAATTCTTGGCACTTTCACCATTTTCTCCTCCCTCTCCTCTGCCATGCAAGTCTCCATTCTCCTTAGTGGAACATGTGCCTTGGCAGATAACACCCAAAACTCTGGCACACTTTTGGAGCTACGCAGAGAGCACTGGCTGCTGCAGAAAGCTTGGGAGACTCTCCTGGCATGGCAAATGGCCCTTTAGGTTGTCATGCCAACCCTTGTCCAGAACCTGGCCTGGGATGTCCTAGGGCAGCCTGGTCACCCCATCCCTTTGCTGTCTTTCAGTATCACCATTCCAGTGCAGACCTTCTCCAACCTGCAGATCCGAGGTCAGTAGAGTGGGCCTTGTAGGAAGGGTGTTGGATGCCCACCTCCTCCCCCAAGATCATGGGCGTTCTGGCCTGGGGCCAGAGACCAGGGGAAAGAGGTCTGGGCTCTCCCTGAGGGTCTTCATGATTCACTGCAGAGCTCCTAGCCAGAGCACAGCATCCCTGGGCACTCACAGGTGGGGCTTGCTGCTGCTCCTGTCCTGCTCTGCCTGTGTCCCTTCCTCCCCTCCCTACACCCCATTCCACAGCAGAACTGGATGAGGTCTCTGCCTCTGCCTGCTCTGCATGCCTTGGGCAAGGTCTGCCCTTTTGAGTGTTTCATATTTTTGTTTTTTTTTTCCAACTGCTTGTCACTACAGGGGGCAAAAGCACCAAAGAAGGGGAAGGTCACAAGGTCACAAGACATCTCAAAAGGCTCACAATACAAGTTATACCAATACAGGCTCACCAGATTGTAAATGGAGCCCCGTCGGCTCTCGGTTAGCTGCCTGCCTCTCAAATGAGAGCTTTTCTCAGCTTGACAGGGAGTAAGAAAGTCTCAGCAAGCCCATTTTCCTGGTCCTCTTGGGCTCACTCCTCCCAGGAGTCCTAAAGGACCAGAACTGTGTCACTTTCCCAGGAACCTCAGTGCCCAGCACATAGTAACTGTAGGTTAAACTAGCAGATCTGGCCAGTGTTAAAGGTGGCAAGTCCCTGGGTACTCAGATGAGATGCTCTCAATCAGATACCAGCCTCTGCCTCCCTCCTCTGTCACTGGGAAGTTCCCTTGGGTCTTGCTGTGCCTGGTGGCCAGGTTCTATGCTTGATCCATCTGTCCCCAAGGCTCTGTTGCTCTTCTCAGTGCAATGCAGCCCAGAGGATTATTTCCCTCAGGAGTGCTACTCTTGTAGTGAATGAGATTTTATGTTCTCTGCTCTTAATTTTAAATAATAGTGTGACATGTTATAGTTTTCTCTCTAAGGGGAGACTAAATTACTTTTTTGTTGATATGTGGCCATCAATGATTTGTAGATAAGGAAAGAAAATTCTCTTCTTCTGGGTGAGGATATTTAGGAACACCAGATGTGTTTCCAAGGCTTAATTCAGCATCAGAAAGTTAACCATGCTGACCAGGTAGTGAAAATCTGCTGAGTGCTAGACATTGAGGGATCACATAAGTGACAGACAAGAAAGGGGAAGGGACCTATACGTATCAATCACTAATATGTGCCAGATGCTTTACATACATTATTTTAGTTAATCACCTTTTTACTGCCACCTAGAGACCATCATCCCCATTCTGCAATACAGCTGAGGTCAATTGTTTTGTACATATGGCTGGTTAGTGGCTGAGCTAGGGCTCAAGCTCTGGTCCACCAGAGTTCAAAGCCCACGTGCTTCTTCTCTGATGCAGTACTGGATTGCCAGAAAGCCAGATAGGGATTTAAATGAAGCCAGGTCAGAGATGGCAGAGCACTGGATCATAGTGGGATGTGCCCAGCACCATGGGGACTTGGGAGGTCTCCAGCCCTTTTGGAAGAGCAGGGACTCTCCCTGCCTGGATGGATAGGCACTTGTGCCTGTGATTCGTGTGTGTGTGATGGGGAAGTTGGGTGTAGGAGAGGATGTGTAGTGTCCTGAGGACCCAGGGAGGCCTCTTCTCCCAACACCTGTAGAAACCAGCCTGGACACCAAGTCCGTGTCAGAAGGCCACCTCAAGAGGAACATTGTGGTGAAGACTGTGGAGATGCGTGATGGCGAGGTGAGGAGGGATTCTGGCTGTGTCCAGGGATACTTGGCAAGGCTCTGGAAGAAAGCCTGGGCCAGGCACTCAGGAGGTCCTTGGTGACTCCCAAGAGCTCCTGGAGGGCTATGGACTTTGGGGAGGAGCCTGAACATCACTCCTTTCTTCAGTCTCCATGGGCAGTGAAAGGACCTAGGCCACTGGATTGGGTCCCAACTCAGGCTCTCTCCCTTTCTCACCCTCCAGACTCAGGTGCTTCTGGAAACAGGACTGGGAGAGAGAGGAAGGAAAGCTAGTAGCTTTCACTCCCAACTCTGGCTGGGACAGTTGGGAAGAGGGAGGACTTTCAAATTTTATTCAAAGGAATCTGCCAGAAGGACAGGAGAAGGGATTTGGCATGCTGCTCCCTTGGCATTCCCAGTTGGAGTGGCAGCAGCAGTAAGGCTACTCTTATACCCTAAGCCCTGTGTGCCAGGCATGGTGCTAAGCACTGTACAAGTTCTCTTTTACTACCCACTCCGACCACTGCACAATGAAAGGCGGTCTTAAGAATTAAGAAAGTTCTAGGATGGTTGGGTACTTGCCTTACATAAGTTACATAGCTTAGCGTGGGGGACCTGGAGTCGGTGAGCTCCTAAGCTGTTGCACTGTGCACCTTCCCTGTCCCCTGCAGGTCATTAAGGAATCCAAGCAGGAGCACAAGGATGTGATGTGAGGTGGGCCACCAGGTGGCCCCACAACATGAGGGGCCTGTAGTGGGAGCAGTAGAGTTGCTTCTCCTTGGATAGCTCATTTCTCCAGACCTGATTCCTAACTGCTGCTCCCCTCCCTCCTCCATCTCTACACCAGTCTGCTGCCCTAGGCTCAGTCAGCATTCGGCCTGCCAGATGGCACCCACCCAGCACCTAGCAACTTCAACTAACAGGGAACTCACACTAAAGGGGCGGTCTAGAAATGTGGCCAGTAGCTTGGGTTAAAATTGGGAGCGAAGGAATAAGTTGGATAGGGCAGGGGGCACCTACAAATCACCCTGTTGTTATGGCAACTGTTGCCAAAGCTGGAGGTCTCTGGAGTCTCTGGGAACTGGGCTTTGAGTTTTCTTAGGCTGCTGGAAGGGGAAGTCCTCACAGGCAAGACAGCCCTGGGCAGAGGCTTGTTCTTCTAGAATGACCCTGACCAATGTAGGAGAAGTCCTGCTACCTAGACTACAGAGAAAGGTCCCAGGGGGCCTCCTGAGTGGTAATTCAAATGTCTTAATCCCATTGAGCTGCCATCCAGGGAACCAGTCTATAGGCAGGTAGGAGCTTGGTTCTCAGCTCTCCGGGAATCTATAGTTAAGTGGAGAGGGAAGGAGTATTAGAAGGGCAACGAGGGGGGCTTCCTGGCCCCTAGGTGTGGATACAGAGAGGTCAAACCCAGGACGACTCCCCCATCTGGGGTAGAAGGGACACTGGTAGTGAGGAGGCAGTGGGGATGATGCCAGACATCGGAGTGGGGGTTGTGAGTAACCAGTTACACTTGACCTCTGGGTCATGGGAATCCAGAAAATGACTCATCCTTTTGAAGATGCTGAAACAGGGGAGAGAGGGCTGCTTTCCATGGGGGCAGAGTACCACTGTCTCAGTTCTGAAGGCCTCTTATGTGCTGCAGAACCTTTGACCACCCAGGCCTCAGAGCCCTGTGACTGCTGCCTCCTGACCACAGTGAGGCCACTACCCTCCACCTAACCTTCTCCACCTGTAATGACTAGCTGCTGCTTTTCCCTACATTAAGGGCCCCTTGTGTCCCCTCTTACCTGCGTATAGAATGTACCCCACCTGTATTTTAGGCAGCACCCTATTTTATAGTTTGGGAAACTGAGGCATGAGCAGAGCAAAGATACTGGCTCATTCTCCTGCAGCCTGAAGCAGGAGCACTTGGGCACACTCTTCCACCCCAGAACACCTGCTCTACTCTCCCTGGGCAGGCTGGTGGGCAGGTGAGCTATTTGTGCCAAGAAATGGGGCTGGAAGGGCCCACTCCATGGTCCTACTCCCCTCTGAGGCCAAGAAGGAAGGGGGGTCCCTCAGGGGATCCCTCCCTCTTCCCAAGACTTGGTGCCCTCTCTTCACTCCTTGCTACCATCTGCTGCTGCTGTTGCTGCTAACCTTCAGGGAAGTGCCACCATCTTTACTCACTGAGGAGAAATAAAGATGCATACCATGGCCTTCCCCAGAGTGTACTCTCATCTCTTCATGGCAGGGGTGGGGAAGCTGGGGTCAAGATGTAGCACTGCACAAGACTCAACTTACTCTTTATCTCTTATTGTCTTGGGAGTCCAAGTCCCCATGGCAGTAGCCACATACCAAATCCCATTTCTGATCTGCTCTGCCACAGTAGGCATGGTACCCTGGCCTCTGCTCCCCACTCCATCTTCTCATCCCCAGCCTGAGTGCAGTGGCTCAGGAAAGCCCAGAATTTGATCTCTGCTCCCTTCACCATTCCCCATCCTAGTCTTCATCTTTACTCCCACACCTGCTATTCCTACCTGCCATTCCCAGTACGATGCTGGGGAGAAAGCCAAGGAAGACATATGCTAGCTCCCTTCACTCTTTTCTTCCTTCCTCCTGTGCCACCCACAGCTCAACCAGTGCCCCGTCAGCAATCCTCAAGGGCACCTCAAATGCGATCCAACAGCAACAGGTGATTTGGTGGGTATTAGTTCACTTCCTCCTCTGTCCTAAGTGTGAAGTCAGAAAACATGTGCCCCTGCCTACTTCCCTTCTCCTCAGTCCCCAAGCTATCACCTGCTTTAGGTTTCCCCACTTCCCAGATCAGGCCCCATACCTGCTCATGAAATTGGGAAGCAGATTGTAACTAATAGATTTGTCTGCATCTTCTTGCCACATGTCCCAGCCCAGGACGCCTACCCACAGGCATCTGGTATCATTTAACAAACACATTGAAGCACAACTGGTCTTCAGAGCTTGGGAAGAGAGAGCCTAGGGTGAGAACATGGGACGAAAGCGAAATGAGTAACAGCAGCAACGACAGAGGTGAACGGTGACAAAAATTGCCGTGATGAGAAGATAGCTTATCAGGGTGAGCTCCACAGCAGCACGAGTCTCAGGGTCAGACAGTGAGGCTGGGTAGTGCCCTCGGGATGTCACACTGAGTCGAAACCCAGCGATCTGCACCCCTTGCCGCCAACAATAGTAAATGCCCCGGTCACTTAGCTGGGTGAAGCGAATGTGGAGCTGGTTGCCATGGTCAATGAATACTCTCATGGATCTGTTGACACCTTTTAGGTATTGTGTGCGGTAGAGGTGCTGGTGGTCCTTGTCCCAAGCCACAGCATGCTCTGGCCGGGCCCCAGGACAGGAGATGATGAGTCCATGGCCCAGTCTCTGCTGGTGAAACTGAATGGGCACTTTGGGCACCCAAGGCTTGCTACCCACTTTGGACACGTAGTTATATATAGCCAGTACACTCTCCCGGAACCGGTTTTTCTTTTCGCAGGGCACCAGGCAGCTCTGAACCAGCAACTCAGGCATGTGGTCCCTGACTGTGGTGCGCAGTCTCCTAGGCACAGCCTGTGAACCACAGGACACCACATCAGACTGTGTCCTCAGGTACCGTGGGGAGAGGTCAGGGCTCCGCAGGTAGCAGAGGCCAATGCGCCATTGCTCCCCACGCACCCCACAGCGGTCACAAGGGGTCCACTCCCAGAAGGTGGTGAAGACATGGAGGTTCCCATAGTACTCATCAGCAAAGGGCTTCTGGCCCATGTCCTTGAAGGTCGCCACCATTCCCTCATTGCTCTGGATGTCCACATCGTAGGCATAAAAGTATTCCCCTTTGCGGGTGCCACAGAAGTATAGACCTGAGTCCTCAGGCTGGGCTCGGAAAACCAACAGGCTAAACATGCGGATGCTGAAACGGACTAGCATGTCACTGCCCACACGCACCTGGGCCGCCTCGGTCAGCACACGCCCATCAAAGTCTGTCAGCACTTTGGTGTGGCTGCTACCCACATGCTTTTGATAGTACCAGACTACAGCCGGCACCTCCTCAGGCTTGCAGTGACAGGGAAGCTCAAAGCTCATGTCAGCCAAGTAGGCAGCATTGTCAAACATAAGGAAAGCAGGGCAGGGGGTCTTCAGAAAAATGTTCTCCTTCTCCACTATTTCAAAGGCCTGGAGACTGCCCCAGGCCCATAGGAGCACAGTGGTGTGGGCCAGGCTCATATCTACAGGAGGGAGGGACAGAGGGGCAGGGAAAAAAAACAAGGCACTGAACACCTATGGGGTTTCTAGAAATCACTGCCAAGAAGAGGCCTCTATTTGAGGAAATAACTAAGCAGCCAGGAAAATAAGCAACAGTCTTCACAGGAAGCAGCCAAATGCAAGGCAATTTATTTCCAACTGATGTACTAGATGTCCTTGGAATGTTCCAGGCCTGATCTCAAGGGAAAATCATTCTAGAACTTGGCCTTCACTCACCTTTCTAGAACACTGGCACTCCCCTGCTCCAAGAATGGATCAAGGAAAACCAGATTGAGCCATAAGGCCCTTGTGCTTCACTGATCTAGGCCCTGCCCGACCTGCCCCATATAAAATATCTTCCCTTCCATCAGTCTGGAAGCCTTCCCTCCAATACACCTGGCCATCCAGGACATTGGACCTAAGTTAATGGCTTGGGGCTTCCCCAACCTGCACAAGAACTCAGCCCTTAGAGAAAAATTCTGCGCCTGAAATGAAGTAGCATTTGGTCACTGTTAGTTAAATGTCCATTCACTGACTTCGAGCTACAAATATTCTGATTAAAGAATTATGAGTATCAGTGTTTATTTGCCATGAAAGATTAACAAGTTTKCTTTTTTCTTTTTCTGAGTGGAGGCTGTACCTGGTATCACCCAAATTTGGTTGGAAACACATCCATCTCTCATGGCCAATGGGTTAGACTCAAAAAGGGTGGGAAGCAAAACTGATTTCAACCTCCTGGACCCTTTTCTGTCCTGTGGATTCACACAGTTCAAAAGATAGATACAGTGGCTGGAAAAGTTAGAGAGACTTGATTCAAGTTTTTTCTCTGAAAATTCCAAGCTGAGAAGAGAAGTAGATGTGGGTTTCTCATTATAGTCCTGCAGAAACCCCAAGACAACCACCAAAAAAATGTCTCTGATGATCATTGAAGCTCACATCAGCCAGGGAGGCAGCACTGTCAAACATCAGGAAAGCAGGTCAGGGTGGTCTTCTGAGCGGGACTCTGAGGGCAGCCAGTCCTATCAGTGAATCTGGTACAGCCCTAATAGCTCCTGCAGGAGCCCCTCCTCCTCCTGGAGCCCACCATCTTGCTCCTCCACAGCCTGTTTGTCTGGACAGCCCCCCTCCTGCAAAGATCTGGGGGTAGCCATGGCCTGCAGCTTCTGAAACAAGCCTCGGCAACCCTCTTGCTCAGCATGGCTCAGGAGGCTCAGGTTCAGGGTAAAGCGTCCCGTGCCGGCCAGGCTGMGAAGGACCCCCAGCACTGTCATCTTATCAGCTGGCCTCACATGATCATTCAGTACCATGAGCAGCTCCCCTAGAAGTCCAAACCCCACATCTGTCTGGAAGAGGTGACCCAGTTTGGGACCTCCAAGCTGCAGCAGGGCCTGGTAGCGCTCTGGTCCACTCTGCAAGTGTCGTCGCCAATCTCGGTAGAATTCTGCTGAGGTCTCAGGCTGGAAGGGGACTTTCTCCTAGATCACAAAGGAAGCAAAGGGGGTCCAGAGCTCTTCTGGTTGCTCTGTGACAGTGAGGTTAAGGGGAGCCTGTGGGTTTTCATCTTAACTCTGGGATTGCTCTCTAAGCACTGGGTAGGCTACTGTGCCTATGGGTCTCATTTTCAAAGGAGGGAACTGGGGATGTGAGAGAGAGGGAGGGCCCAAGGAATCCAGGCCATGATTTTGCTGGGATTTTCCTACTGATGAATGGGACGTAGCTCTGGTTTTCAATAGTAGATCAGTATTTATTCTGAGAAGGGTGAAGGATTTAATGGGAAATCTCAGGAAGAGAGAAAGGAACACAAAGTGAGTGTCAAGGACCTGACAGGCTGTGTCTCTCTCCCCAAACTGCCACAGGATTGTTGTGCTATCTATGATCTATCTCAGAAGCTGAGCTATCCAATTCTGATGTAGGAATGAAAGTCAAAAAACTGATGGAAGGAGACCTCCCTACCTTGYTTTCTGACTCATTCTGCTCAGTTCATCTCAGCCCTATCATCTCGTAGTTGCTTTTCTTTCTGTGACTAGAGGCAAAATCCTGTCTCTGTTGTCTTCCATGAGATAAAAGGAAGAAGTATGAGTTGTAAGAAGACACGGTTGGAGCTTTAGGACAGAGCATTCTGCTAGTCTAAAGAGGCTGGGCCTTACCTACCTGGGAGATTTCGGTGGCCACATCTTGGGAAGGCTGCCCTTGAGTAGAGTGACAATTCCAGGGCACAGTTCTCTTTCCTCCCATCTTGTCCTTCCGCTCCAGAGGCTTCAGATGTGATGCAAGGACAATACTCCTATAGATAAAGGACAGAGAATGGGTGGTGAACTTAGTGCTGTGTCTTGGGAGGGAGGCAGCTAGATTTTGCCTGATGTAAGGTTGAACCTGTTGACAGGATAATATGACAACTATGATAGCAGTATAGCTAAAAGTTTTCAAACTCTGCACATGAAGCCAGATACCGTGTTCAGAATCTTACATGCAATAGCTTATTTAATTATAACAAAAGTTATTCTCTTTACAGATGAAAAAATTGAGGCTCAGAGAGATTAAGGAACTTTCAGAAGATTACACCAATAGTAGAGGTTGAGGCCAGGAGCTCAGAATGATCTGATTCCAGAGCGCTTGCTGTTAACTACTGTAGCCCATCATAGCAGGACGGCCTGAGAAAAACGGCAGTGAGCCAACCTGAACTCCTCATAGGAAGGCACCCTCTGTTCCACTGCCCGTAGCTTGGCAGCATTCTCTCGTTTGTACTTCTCATCAGCAGTGAGCGCATCCTGCAGCTCTTTCTCCAAAGCTTTGAAGTCAATAACATCATTCCTTTCCATGGCCTGTTCCTGGGAAGGAAGGCATAGGGAATGAACATTAGTGGAGGGCCAATATTAGGAAAAGGAGGATGCCTCTGGATTATTTTTTCGTATTTATATTTTAGTTGTGGATGGACACAATATCTTTATTTTATTTATTTGTTTTTATGTGGTGCTAAGGATTGAAACCAGGGCCTTGCATGTGCTAAATAAGCACTCTACCAATGAGCCACAAACTCAGCCCCACCTCTGGATTCTTTACCAAAACACAAAATGACCCCAAAACATTATGACACTTATCTTAGCAAGCATTACAAAAACCTGGCTTTCTACTTTATACAAGTTAAGTTGCACAGGGAGGGCTTATATAAGACTTGTCACTGAAAATACAGAATTCTGACTTTCAATTTGGAGCCCTGTCTTGATTTTTTTTTTAAGAGAGAGTGAGAGAGAGAGGGGGACAGAGAGAGAGAGAGAGAATTTTAATATTTATTTATTTTTTCTTAGTTCTCGGCGGACACAACATCTTCTTTTGTATGTGGTGCTGAGGATCGAACCCGGGCCACACGCACGCTAGGCGAGCGCGCTACCGCTTGAGCCACATCCCCAGCCCACCCCCCCCCCCGCCCCCGTCTTGATTTTGTTCTGTACTCTAAAAATATTTATAGCTCAGTAGTAAAGCGCTTTCCTAGCATGTGCAAGGCCCTGGGTTTGATCCCCAGGTCCACAAAAATAATAATTTTGGTGCTTTAGCTGAAGAGGCATTTGGATCTCAATTCAGGCCATTCATTCTTCCACATAGGATCACTCCATGGCAATTTGTTCCATTGAGGATATCACACAAAAGCAGGAGTCTTGTTAGCTACCAGAGCCCAGAGATAGCATTGCATCCTTCCTGAAATGTCTTTAATGGGAAAAGATAGTTTTCACCCAAACCAGAAGCAATGAATGAACAGGAAACTGAAGTATTAGAAGAAGGAGCTCAATAATCTCCATCCCCAAATCTCTCTGTCCAACCCAAGGCTGGAGGCACAGATGTCTAAGTACATGGGAAAAGTCTTTAGTTCTGCCGTTGTACTTTTGTAGTCTCAAGGCAGAGTCTAACTGGCCTTTTCTACAAGAGAATCTTCCAGATGGGTTCCAGTCTGGGCTCTGGCATTTACTTGTGAGACCTTCCTGAGCTTCAGATTCCTGGTAAGTTGAGCTAGATTTTGTGGTTCACCCAGGAACAGCACTAGAGCAGGAAAGCAGGAGGTCTACAATCAACCCCATGACCACCCTGACCCCCACCTCGACGTGGAGAAGCTGAATGCTGAGAAGGGAGTTGGGTTGGTCAGCAACTGAATCTAGGTATCCCGTTCCTGTCCAGATTTTTGTTGCTGTTGTTGTTTGTTTTTTATCTTCCTGGTTTAGCCTCCTAAGTAGCTGAGACTATAAGCCCGACACCTTGTGTGGCTTTCTATCTAGTTCTGAGGCCTTTCCTGTCATCGAATGAATAGAACAGCTCTTCCTTTCCTATTACTCAGTCTCCAGTCCCTCACCCTCGCGACCCTGGCGTTGGTCCCCTTGTTTTCTTTGGGGATCCCTGATATGCTAGAACCGGAAGACAGCTCGCGCATTCTTCTCCCCACAACGGTGGTTGCCCGGCAACTACGCCAACCGCCTTCCCACATGACCGGTCCGAAGGCCCCCTTTCAGGGTGGCTCCGAGACGCCTGATCATATTTCTGCGTCCTCAGACCTCACTTTCTTTGGAGCAGCGCAGGCCTTGATTTGGAGACCCACAAGTCCACTTTGCCGGTTCCTGTCTTCGCGGTCAGCAGTCCTTGGAGCAAATTTACAGGCAGAGGTCAGTCCTCCGAGAAACGCAATCGTGGCGTCTGCGAGGTCCTTCCTGGCGGCCGGCGCAGACGTTGTCGCGGCGTGGGACGGAAGCGCGGTGTCCAGGGGCCGACTCGGAGCACTTGGCTGAGCGGGCGGGAGGTGAGCTGCCGCGGGGTAAGCACTCTGGAAGGTTTTTTTTTTTTTTTCTTTCGGGTGGAATGGGAAATTAAAGAATGTCATATCTGGAGAGGTGTTGTATACTCTCTGTCCCTTTCTCTTCACAAATGGGTAAATTGAGGCCTGGAGCGGGATCGACACATGCGCACCGGTTCCGGGCTTTCCTTGTTTCCTCAGTGGGTAACGTCCTGTCCCTGGGCACAGGCTAGGCTCTAACTATCCAGTCCCCTTTCTTCCTCCTCCATCTATGCCGACTTAATCCCTTCTTTGCCAAGTTCCCACCTTTGAGAGCCTGAAGTCTAGCGGACAAATGCAGATTTAGTACACAAGAGATCCGGGTTTGGGGTATCCTTGGGAAAGTCTGTATGTGCAGTGTTGGAGTCATTAATTCACTCAACAGATACTTATTGGGGACTGTTTTGTGCCAGGCACTGTTCAAAGTAAACAAAACAAAGTCCTTGCTTAAATTGTAGTTGGAGAAATGAACAGCAAACAAATGAGTTAGCGGTAAATGTTAACGAGACAGTAGAMGCGGAGGTTGGAAAGCATGTATGGAGGACTTCAAAAAGTGACAGAAAAGGTGACGTTTTAATAAAGTAACAAGGTATAAATATCCAAGGGGCAAAAGAGAATGACAAGTGCAATGGTTCTGAAACAGAAATTAACTTGATTTGTTCCGTAAACAGCCTTCTAGAAAAGTTTCTGCAGGCACTTAATGGGAGTCTTTTTTTTTTTTTTTCTGTAATCTTCAAAAGTCATGTAAGTCCAGAAAGACTAAGAAACCGTTCTAGATTGAATGAGAATAAAAACACATCAGCTAAATGCAGTTGGTAATCTTGGATGGGATCCTTGGTTGTGCAGGACATTATTGGAACAATTTGTAAAACTTGAATGGAATATGTGTATTAGGTGGTAATTCTGTGCTAGTATACATTTTTCAATTATGGTGGTTGTGTTGTGATTATATAGGACAATGTTAGTAGTGTGGTAGAACACTTGCCTCACACTGTGAGGCACTGGGTTCAATCCTCAGTACCACATAAAATAAACAAAGGTATTGTGTCCATCTACAACTAAAAAAATATATTTGGAAAAAAAAGAAAGAAATGGAGGAGAGAGTATGGAAGTAGGACAATGAGTAGGGCATAGAGGTGGGGAAGGTACTGGGATTTGGAGGGAATTAGTCAGTAGGTTAATCAGTCATTAGTCACATCTGGAAAAGGGGCATGAGAGATATCTGACCAACCTTAAAAGTCGAAATACAAGTGTTTGCCATGGAGTCTTTGATTATCTTTCCAGAATCTAACTCTTCTCTCTTTGAATTTTAGCATCATGGATACTGACTTGTATGATGAATTTGGAAATTATATTGGACCAGAACTTGATTCTGATGAAGATGATGATGAATTGGGCAGAGAGACCAAAGATCTTGATGAGGTACAACAAACATATTGCTTTTTATCATCTCTCTTTTAAAAAGATCAGTAAAGTTCTGAATCCTCTGTATTTCCATAATGCCCTGTGTATATCTCTTAACATTGCCTTTTTTACAGCCTGACTTATACTGCCCCACAAAAACTCAGCTACTAAAGATCCAAAAGGGAATATAAGACAGTTTCACTGATGAGGTGTTTTTTTTTTTTTTTTTAATACCTTTATTTTATTTATTTATTTTTATGTGGTGTTGAGGATCGAACCTGGGGCCTTACGCGTGCTGGACGAGCGCTCTACTAGGAGCCACAACCCCAGCCCGATGAGGTGGTTTATATTCTGAGCTCTCGTTCATCTGAAAGTAGCTCTTCTTCCATTTGCCTGAAGTATCTTTTGACAATCATGTATAATTCCAGTTTAGAAAAGGTAATCAGCTTTTCTGGGCTGGGCATGTGGCTCAAGCGGTAGCGCGCTCACCTGGCATGCGTGCGGCCCGGGTTCGATCCTCAGCACCACATGCAAACAAAGATGTTGTGTCCTCCGAAAGCTAAAAAAAATAAATAAATAAATTCTCTGTCTCTCTTTAAAAAAGATTTTAAAAAATTTGAAAAAAAAGAAAAGGTAATCAGCTTTTCTAAGAACGTCTATACTGGGACCTCCCTCACAAGCTCAGGTCTCCCCCCCCCCCCCCCCCCCCCCCCCCCCCCCCCCCCGCATATTTTTTATTTTTTGTTTTTGGTACTGGAGATTGAACCTTGGGACACTCAACCACTGAGCCACATCCCCAGCCTGTTTTTGTATTTTATTTAGAGACAGGGTCTCAGTGAATTGCTTAGGGCCTTGCCAAGTTGCTGAGGCTGGCATTGAACTTACCATCCTCCTACCTCCGCCTCCCAAGCTGCTGGGATTATAGGCATGCACCACCACACACAGCCTCCCCCATATTTTTTAATTGATGCATTATAGTTGTATTTAATGATGGGATTTGTTACATATTCGTACATGCACACAATATAACAATATAATTTACAAGCTTAGGTTTAAAATATATATATATGGTTGTATTTCACTTATTTATTTTTATGTGGTGCTGAGGATCGAACCCAGGGTCTCACATGCACAAAGTAAGCACTCTACCACTGAGCCACGATCCCAGCCCTTCAAGCTTAGGTTTGTAAAAATGCACAAAAACAATAAAAGGGAGAGTATAGACTTCTTTGATTCCCCTTGAGGAAGGCTGTGGAAAATGTAGTCCATATGATCTGAGGCTTGCAAAAGACACCTAAGGTGGCTTTTTGTGTGTGTAGATGTTGTGACATAATATCTTTATTTATATAATTTTTTTATGTGGTGCTGAGGATCGAACCCAGGGTCTCACATGCACAAAGTAAGCACTCTACCACTGAGCCACGATCCCAGCCCTTCAAGCTTAGGTTTGTAAAAATGCACAAAAACAATAAAAGGGAGAGTATAGACTTCTTTGATTCCCCTTGAGGAAGGCTGTGGAAAATGTAGTCCATATGATCTGAGGCTTGCAAAAGACACCTAAGGTGGCTTTTTGTGTGTGTAGATGTTGTGACATAATATCTTTATTTATATAATTTTTTTATGTGGTGCTGAGGATCGAGCCCAGTGCCTCACATGTGCGAGGCGAGCATTCTACCACTAAGCTATGACCCCAGCCCACCTAAGGTGGCTTTTTTGTTTTACAATTATTCAGAACGTAATCTAGAGGTAGAAAGGCCTGTTGTTAACAGTGAATTAGTCTGGATTAGCAGTGCTTAGAGAGCTGTGATAGTCATGGGACAGCAAGAAAGTAGAACAGATATTCTGGCTCCATCTATCTTTTCAATTTGGAAAAATATTCATCAAACTAAAAAAGGATAGAATAAACTGGAAGAAAAAGAAAAGTTGAAGCCATATAGGTGATGTGACGTGAAAGGAGAACGTTTTGCAACCTTAGATGTGTGTTCAGATCTGTAGGGCCAGGTGATTTATATTTTGGCTGAGGTGTAGGGAAGACCTTGCAGAGATAAGCTCACTGTGGTCATCTTTAAACTGTAGGGAGTGACTGATGTACCAAAAAGTAAATTATACAGCTCATTCCGATTTTTAAAGATGGAGATAACGTGCCACATTTTAGATTAGTAAGTGTGATAGTGTGATATGCATCCATAATAATAAGTAATTCATGAATACATTCTCATTCAATCCCTGCAGAGAGAAAAGTTTTCTGTCCTCATTCCATTTTACCCCTTTTCCAAATTAAGCACTGTGGCTCATGCTGTCCTTGTGAAAAGATTTTGGCTATGTCAGAGTACAATTAGGGAATGCTGCAGCTGATTGAACAATGGAACCCAGAAAGTATTGCCACCAGAGCTCTTGTGACATGTTTTAGGCRTCTGTGCTTGATTTGTCTTTTTCAACCTTATCATTAATGACTTGGGTGAAGATACAAAATGGAAGTTTATAAAACTTATTTGGGACATAAGCTAATATATTTGAATTCAAAGTGATCCCAATAAACCTGAATTCCAGACTAAAGCTCAATAAATTCATTTGTTAAATATTTATGAAGCTGTTTACTATGTTCAAGAAATCATGATGCAGAGAGAGCAGAGATACTGCCCCTGCCCACAGGAAACCTTCTACTAACTGGGGGAGATAAAAATACAAAAATATTTATAATACAAAGCAGGGGAAGAGGAGTATGCTGTTTAAGTTATATTAACTTCATGCTGTAGTAATAGTATGTGAGAAATAATTTCTGACTGGGATGACCAAGAAAGATATCTAAAGAAATAACTTTCATACTGGAGCCAAAGAATGGATAGGTGTCTGTAGAGATGGAAAGTGAACAATTAGTGGTAGTCTGGGTTGGGGATGGAATTGGGAGGTGATAACTTAAGAGTATGGAATTTCTTTTTTTGGGCTAATTAAAGTGATCTAAAATTGATTGTAGATATGGTTGCACAATTCTGTAAAGACACCAAAACCCATTGAATGATGCACTTGAAATGGATGGATTGTGGGCTGAAGATATGGAGTAGTATAGTGTCTGCCTTGCATGCACAGGGCCCTAGGTTGAAACCCCAGCATAAGAAGGAAAAAAAAAAAAAAAAAGGAGTGAAGGAGTGAATTGCATGTAGAAAGTGGGTCTTATCTCACTAAAGCTATTAATAAAAAT